CTAAAGAAGTTATAAAGTTTACAGGACTTAGCTAAGTGGTTAAGTTGTGAGTGAAAAGCTAGCAACTTAGCAGGTTTGCTAACTGGTTAGCTAACTGGTTAACAGTTTGTATATAAAAATGCACCTCGGTTAGGTTTTTGTGTTTTCTTAATCAAAAAATATACATTTACATAAATATTCACAGTGTCTTTGTATATTCTCCCTGATAGACATGCTTGTGAATTGACTGTTTTCTGCTTCAAAAAGCAAAAACAATTTTGTGTGTTCATGTGAAAACACATTCAAGTGTGCCTTGGAATGTGAATCCATTGTCCAGGCTTTGTTGTTTCCAAACACAAACAGAGTTAATCTCTATTTGTGTTAGTGTAAAATATTTTGGTTTTGGTTCCAGGTGTAGTATGTATAGGAGGATGGACATGGGTGTAAGATTGGATCACTCATTGTGCTATTTGGAGAACACTCTGCTGGACTCTAAACTTGGTGAGTGCCAGTGGGTTTGACCACCAAATGAATCCAGTACAGCATGGGGCATAGCTATATTAGCCCAAATGGACTTCCAAATGGCACCTCCATGAATTCCCAAATGGCACTTTGGTTGAGCCTGCCCACTCTATGATAGATCCAGGACTTGATCCTTTCATTGGGCCTATCAGGCATCTGGCATTGGATCATCTGCAGATCCCCTCAAGAGCTGTTCTCCAGGTTTTATGTCAAAGTAGCTATTCCAACAAATGTCCACTGATTGATATGGACAACCTTAAACACCAAAACTCTTGCTCGTGCAAACGAACATATCTTACCATGAATTAGCATGAACCTATCTTTGGCCTGGTTGGCCCTTGAATGGGACATGAAAATCACCCACATGAAGCCATCAGGCTTGCAACAAGTAGTCCCTGACATGTTCTGTGAAATATAGGTAAACTTTAAGCATCAAAATTCTTGATCATGCAAATGAACACACCTTACCATGAAGTAGCATGACTCTATCTTTGGCTGATTGGCCCTTGCATGGGGCATGAGAACCACCCACATGAAGCCATCAGGCTTGCAACAAGTAGTCAATGACATGCTATGTGAAATCTATGTGCCATGAGGACACTGGCAAGAACACATGCAAGAACACACTAGTACCACCAGGATGTTTTGAAACCTGCTGGAATGCGCTCTTTTGCTCACTTCATTTGAAGTGGCACAAGGATTCTGAAGTCCTTGTTTTCAAAGTGTGAATGTGCAGTGGTGCAAGCCAAGGAAGAAGTATGCACAAACTTTGCAATCTCATTCTGTCTAACAGTAGCAAAGCATCCAGTCTTGTCCACTTGAAGGACTTCGAGCATGGAAACCAAAGAGTAAGCAATGTTGTCAATGTCCACATGCATCCAGACTTGGCAAACTTGCAGGCTGTTGGTCGAACTGTGAAGGAAACAAAAATCACCTTTGCTGCAAATACCTGCTGGTTGGAGGTGTGCCTGTGAAGAGCTGTGCACAATGGTGTCAGCAGGCAACTCAAAGGCATTTAACACAATGGCTTTCAAAGCCTTGCTTGCAGCACCTTTTTTGACAAGCCTTGCCTTCTCTGAAAAGAGGTTTGGTTCCTTCAGCTTGGCAAGGTCATGGCAAATAAGCTCTGAAAGTACACTTTTTTCAAAGGTCAAAGTGTTGCTGATCGAGGTTGCATATCCTTAACAGGGTAAGGGTCAATGAAACCTGTGGTGGATAATAATGACATTGGTTGAACATTGAACCAACACAGTAAACACTAAACACTTTCTTGAAATAGCCAAGCATCGCTTTACAACCTTATGTTTTCTTTCTTGGACAAAACAGCTGGGAAGTTGACCATGTTTTTGGAGGTGTGTGCCAAAGTGAAGACACCAATGAAATTTGGTACGCATATTCTCTTTGAAACCACATGATATGCAAAGAGAAAGGAATGTCGTCACAGCTCTGTCAACCATAGCAGGGGTAATCTTTCCCTTGGGTACCAGCTGGATCAGGTCAATGATGTCTGCAAGTGCAAAGAACACCTGACACTTGTCCTTTGTAGATTGCTCTGCATTTGGGATGACAATCTGCATAAGAAAGTATCCAAAAACACCCAAAAGACCTATAGCTTCAGATGCAGTGCATTTGAAAGTGTATGCCTTCGCATTTGCAACCTGTCTTTTTTTGGAGAACAAAGATGCCAAAGGTGTTGTCATTGACTTTGGCAGGACCCAGGTTCTGAGGCATTGCTCAATGGTGGGGTACACATTGCCAAACATACCATCAAGCTCCACCAGCAACAAATGCATAATTGTTTGGAAAATGCCTGTGACCAAGAAACAATGCATCCAGTCATGTATGAACTGAGAAATTGGGAGAACATCTTGGGACAAGCTCCTGCAGTGGAGTAAACCATGGATGCTGTAGTTGAATCCAACAGCTTGCTGCCACAAAGCAAAGTCTCATTTGTTAAGAGTTGCCTTTTTCTCTTCAAGTCTTGATATTGTTTCAGCAATGTCTTGGTCAGTGGATTGCTGAATCCTTGTGAGGTCCCATTCATCTGCCACTAGGGTGTTGGATCCATCTTCTTGTAGTAATCCAGACTTTGAAGTAACCAAATTTCTGCAAAATATGCAGAACTTTGTTCCTGCATCACCTTTGAGATTGAATATGTACTTGTGCGCAGATCCATCTTGTAAGAATGCACCCAGTGTATAAAACATTCTAATTGTACACCCTCCCTGATCTTTCAACAAGAACCCTGCTTCTTTGGGATTGCAGGAATCTGGGCGCAGGATGCAATTCAAAATAACTTGTGTCACTTGGGACATCCCAGACTCAAGTTCTCCAACAAAACTTGATCTACAAGCCATGATGCAAAACCATGCCTCTTCTTTGCTGAGGGCAACTGGACCAAATTCCATAAAGGAAATGTATATGCATTGGACTTTTCTGCTAACATCTGCACTTAACACATTTCCTGGTACCACCTCATCACTGTAATATATGATTCTCCAGGGCTTTTGTGCAGTGCATGGGTGTTGGGGCAGTGTCCTGGCCACCAACTCTTGCAGTCCACCACCTTGTTGATATGCAGCATGTAACATTGTGAGAAAGTTCACAAACAATAATGGCTTCTCTGCACCATCCTTGCAAACAACATTGGTAGTACTCAGCATAGGTCCATATGCATTGTAACCTTTCACTGTGTAGTCTCTGGCTTCAGCCACATGTTTCCTGGAATGTAGGTCAGGAAGACCATTGAGTTCAATGTCTTGAATCACTTCTGAGAGCGCACTTGCTGTGATCTGAGGGTTGTTTCTCCTCAGGCCTTCCAACCTTCTAAGTTTGGAAGCCCTAGCATCCATGGCATAGAATGCTGAATGTGTAGCCTAAAACATGGTATGCCATGATAAGGTGGTGCATGTAACACTTGAAAATGCCAACACTTCAAAAGACACACATGATGTGAGGCCTTGTGGGCCTATAGCATATGATGATGAATTTGACATGAACACAAACCACAAGCTTGAAGGCTTAGCACATGATTGCATGTGCATGTTGTGAACAGGATGACACAGCAACAAACTGTGAGCCACCAACACTAAGTGCAAACTTAAACCAATTGACATACACTGCTTGACAAAAGTGCTTGCAGTTCTAGTCATAGAGTTATATTTGGTAAGCTTTTGATATTGGTCCCACACATGAAAACATTATGAATGACACATGCAATGCCTTGCAAACACATAGTGAAGGATTGCATGAAAGAAGCTTATGCTTGATAAATGATGTAGCCATGCGCATGAGCATGAAAGCTCTAGCAGTCAGTCTTTTCACAGCAAATCATGTGTACTGTCTTTGTAATCACTACACAGGCCTTG